TCTTAATTTCCGCAATGTAAATCCTTAAAAATCACCTCTCACAATGACACGCTACTCTGTCAAAGGAAACCCCTTTTTCATTAACATCCCCCGAAGTGCCCATAATTATATACGCGGCTCTCTATCCCAAATTGCATGAAACTGTCGCTTTCACACGTGTACAATTTCAAAGTCCCACATCTCCTCGAGCGTGGAGAGACTGATTTTAGGGCAATGCCCGCTCTCCACCCGAGTCTACCCGCATCAGACGCTCTTGGAAGTGAGGGGCAGGTGTGAGACCAGATTTCAAGAATACCGTTAGTATAAGGGGTAACCACCCAACGTTCAGAGCTGGCCTTGTCGCGTGCCGCTGGCGGCACATCAAACAAATTCCCACAATAGAATATGACTTGGGGACGCTCTCGGCCCATGCGCCTGTCAAATCTCCGCCGTGATTTAGTAAGATTAGAACAAGCCACGCGCCACGGCTCCACCCCTCGCTTCCCTCTGACCTTGGGGTCGGGGTCGAAGTGGGTAGGAGAAGGGGTGATGTTGAAGGAAGGGGGGTGGGTAGAATAGCAGGTGCAGGTTGCAGTGTTCAATATGAGATAACTGCCAAGTGCGTGTTCTATAGCGGTACCTCCATTGTTGAAGACAGATAAGCAAAACAAAACTCAAATCACTTTGTTATGGGGGACTTGAGAAGGGGAGAAGGACATCTGTGGGTGTAAGTCGAGTGACCATCTGTTACCCCCGGATACCACAAGCACGTGAGCTCGTGCCAACCTGTCAGGTAGGACTGTGGGTGTCGCCAACTGGATTTAACGGAGACATATACGCGGCTGGGGACACTAAATCGTCGAAAGAGGATACGACCGCAGCTCTTGGTCTTCGTTAAACTGTCGCGGCGGAGCTGAACCCCAATCAATTAACGTTTATGAGTTTCGAAAACGTGCCATGCTGGAGAAATTTCACGATTTTATTTCCCAAGTTGATGCATCAACGATAATTGCAATAATTACGACCACGACCCCGTTATAGGACAATGCAGTGTTTCATTTTGAATGATATGCAAGTTTGAGAAGTTTTAAAGATCATGGAAAAGGTATACTATATGTTTAATGAGCTGCATTCTTGAGTGTAATGCATTTGTTTGGCTGTTTATAAACGTTTTGTAAACGTTGTAACACACTGTCAAGTTTAAATACTGTTTACACACGGCCAAATATATGAATAATATCCATATGCACGAATCAAAGATGGCCGCCAAAACACAGTGGCCTCAGACGGTCGCTGCAGTATCCCGGTTGTACAGGTAATACATGTACCGACTGTTGTCTAACAATTAAGTTATCAAAATTATAATTTACTTTCAAAATCTGCTGTTTAACGTCATATTTTGCACAGATGTACGAGGATCTTGCCAACTACGTGAACGATATCAGTATAGGCTACATTAAACAGGTCTCTCCTTGAAAGTTGAAAAAGTTCCCCCAAAAATCCGATGCGTTTTTTTGGCCCGTGCGTATGGTTAAGGATATTTTTATTTGGAATTTAATGACGTTTAAAGCATAAATTATACATGCATCAGTCCTCTTTTGGCATATATCGCGTATAAAATCTTTGATAAAAAATATAATAGTTTGGTCGATAATTATTCACTTGCCTAACCTTTGATATTAATAATGGGTCCCTTGCGTGTGCTTCTAAGAGAAACACAATTCCCGTATTTTAATAAAACTTGGGACAAACGACTTTGAGTTTGAAAAAAACTATTATTCTCGGGTACGCGACAGGCGCGTGCGGTACGCTTTCGCAAAGCTTTCTGATTGGTTCAGAGCGTGAGATTTATTTGCAATCCACCCCAAGGCATTTTCCATGTGGCGCGTGTGCTCAGACTAGCATCGTTTCATGAAGAAATTTCGCTTTTAATTCTACTTTCAATCCCCCCTCCCCGTCCACACTCTGCTCTACTTGTACACACCGTACAATGATGGTTTTGAAGCATCAGAGCTTTGATGTCGAGTATCATACATATTGGGACATGAAAAGGAGCTGGGCTGACCATTAAAATCCTAGTAAATAGATACGTTTTATTGAACGCAGGCTCGGTGCATTGAAGGTTTATTGAATTTAGGAGAGATGTCAAATCAAAGAGAATTTTGGAGATATATCGTACGCCCTACAGATAATAAGGGTGGTGAAACGGCGGGCTCGCGACCTACCCGGGTCCTGATTGGGTGAGAGGCGACAGCTGGCCTTGTTCGCGTGCCTGCTTGCCGGGCACAAACCTCTGAACACCTGCCTCTGACGTCATAATAGCTCGTGCAGAATTTAGCATAGAAGGGGCTCCGAGTCCTCATTTACACATATGAATGGGAGGTATTTCATTTCTATGGTCCTCTTTCATAGTGACAGCGAAGAATATAGTGGTCCCGATCTCAGAGGACTTAAACTCGCCACGGTGGGACTAATTTGGCGAGGGGTTCAATATTCGGTGAGGCGAGGATGGACCCCACCCGTTTCTCTCTCTCTCTCTCTCTCTCTCTCTCTCTCTCTCTCTCTCTCTCTCTCTCTCTCTCTCTCTCTCAAATACATATCATATTTTCAATCCTGAAGCAAGCACGTAGATCCATGCCAATGTTCGTCCACTCTGTAACGTTTTCAAATCGAGATTTTAAGAAGCTTCTGCGTGGTCCATATATGGTTTACCGTAATTTGCATATTTTCAAACCAAGTACGAACCATCATTTATTACGATACAACGTTAAATGGGTTCATGTTTTTCTTTTTACTTTGAATTCAAAATCATGTTTATAAGAAGTGGGGGTATGTTCGGACACCATGTCTTGTTTGCCACCTATGAAATGCGTCTTAATGAATTTGTTTACAGGATATAAATTTGAAATGGTTTATCATAAGCCAGGTCAATCTTGATCAATCTGTCGCGTGTGCCCTTAGGCCTGGAAATAACATAAGAGGTCTGCAGTTTAATGAGTGTCATTTCTAAATCGCAACTCATGGAAACCGAGTTATTTGGACTGTACAAGGCGCCAATTGGTCGAGCAGCCATCTTGGGATGCGCACGTGCCGCGAACAATAGCGCGCGCTGCTTCTGTCATGCAAATGAGGAGCGTGTGTCACCCGGATTTTGCGATAGATTTCTATTATCGCTGAAGCGTACCTTAATTTCGACTGGCTCTGGGATATTATTTTCGTCATTTTCTCACAATAAAATATCGCACACAAGACGCACACAAAATATATTTTTGTCATATGTATATATTCTTTATTACTGCAACCATCATTACAAAATAAGATGACGTTTACAAAAGTTTCCAATATCACAAATGAACAATTTGTTAATGAGGTGTTTTTTAGGAATTCTTATGAACATTTGTTTCAAAATATCGATTTTTATTCCAGGGGAAAATACATGCTAATTTCGGCGACATGAAAAGTAGGGCACTTTATTGCGCATTGAGTAACACTGAATAAATTATGAGTGACTAACGTGTAAAATATTTAACAAGTTTCCAGTGGGTTCAGGAATTGTCCATTTTTATTTTGGTTCATCATTCAATTAGGGTATGTTTCTAACGGTCGAAGCTCGGTACGACTTGCAGTGACGTGGTGGCGGGTACGATATTTTCGATTTTTATTCACAAATATTACACAAGTACCTGAGAAGTTAGAAGTTGCCTGTGACATGGATACTTAGTTCATGCACAATCGATATTCTCAGCGTTGTCACCGCGCAGGACACGCACGCGCACTGATGAGTCACAAGAAATTCGAGTCTGAGAATACGGTATTAGTCGACAAGCTAATTATTAACGGGAACTAATCTCAACGATGGGTTTGTCATAAGTAGAGCCATGGCTATATATTTTCACATCACCTGCATGTTTAATCCGCCGATAATTTTCTTGTCCCTGTACATGGAGATAATTTTCAAATTTGTATTTTGAAAAAAAATATTTTTTTCTGAATATCACAATCTCCATCTAATCATTGATTTTGTTTTAAAATTTGAAGGTAACGTTGAAATAAAAAAAAATTGTTGATCACCAAAACGAAAATATGTATGTTTTTGTTTCTGGGTATTGCTATTTCAAGAACGACATGTGCACTTTCAGACACATCATGAAATTTTGTGTCGTCATAACCGTTTTAGATGCACCCGACGTGTTCTTAAGCAATATAAGTTATATATGTCGCACTTTCGGACACATCATGAAATTATGTGACGTCATAACCTTTTTTACATGCACCTGACGTGTTCTTAAGCAATATATGTTATATATGTCGCTTGTCGATTTCTAAGGGAGAGTGTCACATTTAGAGAAACTAGTTCGTAGTAGAGAAGTTCCGTTTAAGGCGACAGTTGACGCGTGTTGTTACAGTGGTCAACCGGAAAGTCAATTAAAGATCAGCCTTGCTTGACAACATAGTAATCCTCCCTAACAATCGTTAATCAATGCATTCGTGTATTAATTAGCGTCTTACGTCATCATGTTCATTTTAGACATTCACACCTATCGTGTCACAGCCGAGATGACAAGGACTGCTAGGCTTATGTCATCCCTGAGGAAATGGACAGCACATGAATAAATATAGATCTTATGGAAGCTAGCTTCAGTGAGCCCGAGTTTGTTTTCATCTGTACAAATTACCACAGATGTTTAAGTTTCTTCCTGGAAATATCATAAATCTGTTTTAGCCTCAGCGCGGCGTTGGCATATTCAGTTCTTCGTTCGCCTGTCTCCCCAACACCCGTCTGTAGCGTCTGAGCCACTGTTTACTCATCCAGAGAGCACGTGTGTAAAAGCGTAGTAAAATTTCCTCAGTGGCGTGGCCCGCTTGGAGAGCCTCAATGCATATTTATAACTTGACCTACTCATAGCCTGTAATTGTTTTGGTTTTGCAGCCAATCAGCGGCGAGGCGTCGTCTTCCGGAGAAGTGTCCGTCATAGTCGAGGGGCGTGAGGGGGCGGAGCCTAGGCGTTTATAAAACTGCTGTGTTCGTCTGAGCCAGTGAGTCTTCCAAGTTTTCACGGAGTAACTGTCTACAAGAGTTGAAGTCGCATACCGCGGACCTTCTTGCGAAGGCTCTATAATCGTTGTGTACATGTGTATTGGTACTTGTGTGTGATTTCAAAATGGTGCCACAACAAAACACCCGGGACATTATGCTCGACGAGGGTGCGAACGCTTCCTCGGATCAGTTCGGCTCTCAGGTCGTCAATCCTAGCTCTCTCACGCCGTACTCTGACGCTACAAACTGTAAAAAGACCACCAACCACATCAAGAGGCCGATGAATGCATTCATGGTGTGGTCTCAGATTGAGAGACGGAAGATTTCCGAAGTGTCACCCGAAATGCACAACGCTGAAATCAGCAAACGGTTGGGCAAGCGCTGGAAAACTCTCTCGGACGAGGAGCGTCAACCGTACATCGAGGAAGCCGAGCGTCTTCGTGTGTTACACATGCAGGAATACCCCGACTACAAATACCGTCCTAGGAAGAAGGCTAAGCCAACAACTGGAAAAGTTGAACACGGTAAGGTTACTAAACCTTCTCCTAAAAACTCTAGAGCTGACAAGAGCAAAAAGACTGCCAAAGCCGTGGCGCACTTATCCGTTGCTTCTTCAAATAGTGAAAGTGCAGTGAACAGCTCAAATAAACTTAAACTCAAGCTCACCATTGACAGAAAGTTTAAGGAAAGCATCAAAGCTAGTAAGCAAGTGCCTGTGTCTTCATGCCAACTGACACCCCCAGCAAAGGTGCCCTCAAGTCCATCAGTGTATACACCCCCTACCCCAGAGTCAGCCAGTTTTTACGGCGAAGAAGGTTACGAAGCGCCCGCCGCATCCCCTCATCAAGAGCCTCTCAAAGTCCAACCTCCAGTTCATAGACAGACAGATTCACAGCCCGAGGGCTCCTCCCTCGCCGATTTGGACAACCTTACCGATGTGCTACAAATTCCCTCGAACTGGCATCTTGATCTGGGGAGCCTAGATTTGGGGAAATTAACTGACACAGACTTTTCTTTTGATATCCAAGGCAGTGCTAACGGTTCCCATTTTGAATTCCCGGACTATGCGACAGCTGAAGTGTCAGAAATGATCGGACTTGAAAACGACTGGTTAGAAACGAGTCTTGGGTCTCTGATCTCCACCCAATGAGTGTAATACCCCCCGGGACACATAGTGCAAACAGTTGTTATTAAATTCATGAAATGGACTCAGCGGACCACGGCGCACCATTGGTGTTGGGCAAGTCATGTACATTACATAAGTGTATTTAATTCGTCGACTGCCCGTGCCACCAATTCTGTGCGCGACTGACCCACGGACCTCAATCATATCAGACCTATGCATTTCAAGTCTTTATATTCCTTGTGGAAGTGTATATAACTGTAAATAGAACAATATATCTTGCTGTCTCAGCGGAACTTTACAAAATGGACCCATGCCCATGCAGGGCTTCTTCATGCCCCTGATACGAACTGCTTCTCAGGTGTGTTCGATTAGATTGACTGAATCCACGGTCAGGTCAAAAGTTCGCTCAGCTATTTTCTACCTTACTTGAGAAACGAACGGTTGTATAATATATTTTTGCCCATGGGAAACGTTTCATAGCATAATCCCAAAGGGTTTTGTATCAAATGTATATTCCAGATCTAACAAAATATAATTTCACACAATTTTTGTAAATTTTGTAGTATTTTATACTTCTATAATGAGTATTCTATCTAGAACCGCTCAACCTTGTCACATATACGCCTTGATATATAAGTGATTTTTGTAAGAAAACTGCAGAGACAACACTGTTTACAACTCAAAGGGGAGAGGTGTTATTTATTGCATATTTAAGATCACCTCTACCCAACATATACAAAGTGTGCTATTATTATTTATATTAAAATCTGTCCAATGAACAAATCTGGTCGACTCCGTTTTGTGTAGCACGTTCGTAGTGTTAGTCCGAGCTTCTAGAACCCTGCGAGTCAATGTTTGCTGTAGAGTTAAACATCAAGTCGAGAGCCTTTGGCAGGCTGCTTGTTTATGTAGGGTCATTTCAACTCCAAAAGGAACTTGCCCGACTTCTAGACCATTTGTACTTTCACCCTTTAGAACTTTTGAACCAAACTGCCAACTGGGTCTCGTGTACCACGACAAGTTCTTTTGGAGTTGAAATGAGCCAGAGAAATAGGACTCCAACTTTAGTGCTACTTAGCCCTACTTCAAATGTATTGACTACTGCAAGGGGACTGCGGGTGTACTGCATGTCGATGTTCTAGTGTTTATGAGGCGACAGATTGGAGCACGTGGTCGAAATTGCCACCCTGGATTAGGTTGAAACGGACGGGCGGTTGTGCTGTGGAGAGCTTGCTGGTGGGCCGTCGTTCCGCGTCTTGTCTGTGAGACCTACTTCTATTGCTGACTCGCTTGTTTCCACATGAAGCGAGTCACTCGGTGCAAATTTGGAGGTAATCCCACATTTGTAGGTGGTTGATTATTACTGTATTCAGCCTTTCTTCCTTGATTCAATGTTTTTATAAGCCAGGCGGAAATCCGGTGACGAATCTAGCCATGCGTACATTGTGATCAGAAATAGTGACATAATTACGGTCACGCTCCACAGGCGGGGTTACACACCGCGCTGTAGTCGCCTCCAGTCGCCCCCCGCATGTTGGAAGGGAATACTGTGTGAGACAAGGTGCGAGTCTGACACCCTTTCACTACAGAAGGAACGGCGTCTTTTGATCATTGCTACGATTGCCACGACCAATCTGTCCCATTAAAATATATCTTCTCTATGACAATCACACTGTTACAACGAGTTAGAGAAGTAACCTGTTTATCTTACGTCAAGGGTCACTAAAATGAATTCAAGCCGTTCTGGTCACGCTCTCCACAGAGGTTTTGATCAAAGAACGTACCGAGGAAATGAGTATAACTATTTCCTTATCAAATGACCGGTAATGTGATACACGCTCTTTAAGAACTAAATCAAGAAGCAAATCTGATATAACAGTGAAGGGATTACACCGTAAGGCATTTTTGGGGGGTCGGACACTTTGGAGACAGATAGACGACTGGCGACTGTCTATATGATACGTTTGGATTTTTACAGCAGGTACGTACTGTTCAGTTACGTATCGCTGATAAGCGATTGTGCCTTGCAGACTGTACAAAACGGCTCTTGATATCGTCCACTTCAGCAACCAAAATAACCGCACAACATACGTAGGATGGAAATCTGAGTTTAAAGTTAATTGAGTACACAGGTAGTTCTGACAATACACCCTGAATCATACACCGAAATTAGATTTGAAGATTTCTCGATTTTACAGTCAATCCGTTCGCCATACTTCACACACGAAGCTAGACTGACGCTTAGTCTACGAATATATATAATGTTGATAGAAACACTTTTCCATTTAAACTGGAAAGGAACCCGAGTAAGATGGGCGATTGAGAACCTGAGGAAATCTAGACTTGCTTCATTAAGGGAAAATAATGTGGTTCAGGGACTGTGAGACAGACTAACACGTAGAGGAAAACAAGGTTTTCGCTCCCCCTCGATCATCGACGTTGTCGGCCGCACATGTACATATCCCCCCAAGCCAAACTGTCCGACATTTCTTGAGTCCTCTGCTTGAACTGTTGTGTATTTATATACACTGCTATCGCATACACTTTCTAACGTCCTTGCAGGCCTTGTTGAACAATATCAGCTCCATCGGATCTCAGCCGAGTTTTCTTCGTGTTGTGGGGACTTGGTCATTGCGGAAATAACTCGCTGTAGATATGTTGATATGAATCGGGTCGTTGGGTTAACAGTGCAAAACTCTCGACTTTTCGACAAACAGGCCAACGTGTTAAACACAGTCGACGTGGTATTTCTCAACGTAAGCGGCAACCAAAGTACACTGGACGAACAGCACTAAGTCTTCAACGGCGGGGTTAGGTGTACAAGACTCCCCCCAAACACGTTTATATTGTATTTCTTTTTAGGGAAGATTTATATGGCTAATGACTCCGAGATTGTTGGGTGTGGGAAGGTTTTGCTGCACTTCCCCATATCCCTGACGCAATTAATACCAACTGCATGACCACCTTGAAGACACACGCTCAGAACATTACAACCATATTTTGAAAAGACAAATTTGTAATTTCAAACGCCTTGACTGTTACGATTTGAAACGGAAGGGCATATTGTCATGTAAATATCGTGCCCCCAGAACATTTTCAGAAGGGTTGTTTGTGCAACTTCCTTATTTCAAACGGGAGTACCAACAAACGAAGCCTTGGCTGTCGGGATTCCTTTCACAGAGGACGAGGAGCCTTGCAATAAATACCCAGTCCGTTTCAAAAGACGTGCCCTAGCACATGTGTTCTTAGACTGCCGTGATAACATACGTTCGACTGCATGGCGGCTTGTTAGAAGTTGAGGGGACCATCTGGTCACCGCGCCAGCGTGATACTTCGGGGAGGGGGGTTCAAGGGGGAGCGTCTTCACAGGTCATCTAGCAATGCCGGAGGGTTTACTTGTAAAGTTGGAAGTTTTACAACCACGGCAATTAGTATTATTATGTAGGTCAAGACGTTTCGTTGGTCCGAACTCGCGGATTTGTTTCTTCGTAATATCCTTTTAGGGGCCATAACACTGCGTCACAACCACGTACTGTGGAGAGCCTTATACTGCAAGATTGTGTGCAGTTTGGGAGAATTGTTTTATGGCCGTCAGAACGAATGGTGCAAAGGGGTCGTCGTTTGCAGGCTATAAATCAGATGTTGTTATTAACGTTGTGTCGCATTAACACCACGATATCATAAACCAAGTGCAAATGTCATAACCAAGTGCATTATTCGGTTAGAAGACAAGATTTGATGGCCTGCATCCTTCATCTCGAGAGTCCGACAGTCATCGTCTGAAAGGACTCCAGCATAAACCGTACTTGGTGAGTGTCTCAAATCGAGATCGGCTGGGGTCGTGGTTGAAGTAAATCGCTGGTGACGTTAAATGCCGAGTTTAATTCCCTCAAGGGTACAATATGTGAAGCTCATTTCTGGTATTGCAAGATTATTGTTAAGACATGAAACGAGGCACGGCCGTTTAGAAACCTTATAAAATGAGTAAATTCAACAGTAATATGTCCACCAAGAACGATCTTTTAACGTTTCTAAAATTGTTCCTGAAATCCAGAGAAAGTTCATTTGATGTGATTCTATAAACTTTAGTGAAGGGTTTACAGTTTTAAAGTCAACCCAAAGGTGAGCGTTGGTGATCATGACATTGTGGGTGAGCTGGGTACAAATCCGTAGTTGGAACAACCTGAAGCACATGAAAACACGAAGGCGTCAATTAGGATGTTCAATGGGAGTTTTATGGCATGTAATAAGACCACTTTCATTCTGTCACACAGTATATGTTCTTCCACCATCCGCCCATCTGGATAAGCCGCTATACGTGTATAAATAACAGAATATATAAAAATATCATCTTCACCCTGCGGCCATCTTGACCACGAAGGTCTCGCTGTCCAGGTGACCAGGGCTTGGCGGGAAACAGCGTGTCAGGTGTCAGGTGTCTGCGAGGAATGTTACGCTTGAAACCATACGTCCCACCACCTACCACTTTCCCACACTCTCCATTCACATCTCACAGCCTCACACCCCTTCCATGTTGATGTTCAAGCCAAAATCCAACAGAAATCTTACGAACCACCCAAACGTTCTCCCCTTACTTCAGTCCCCCCATCGTTATCCCCCCTCGTCAGACCCCACCCGACCCAACCCTACACAATATCAAAGCCAAAATGTCAATCTTCATCCCAACCCGCAAATCCCCATTATGTTATCCATGGAAACAATACACATCATCTCTACCAGCCTCTTTCCCCATCTCAAAGTCGACATCCTTTACATTTACCTTTTATGTACCCATTGTTTTATCAGCAAGATCAAATATCCACCCTTCTACACCCGTATCCACCCTCCACCCTCTATATAATCCTTACCGGGAGTGTATACATTATGCCCCATCACTCTTGCTATCCATACCTATATCCCCTCCCTCCCCAGCCGGTTGTCTCACATCGCCCCCCCCTCCCCCAACAACATACACCCAAACCATAATCGCATGGCCCCCATCAACGTATTCTTGTCCAGCTTATCTAGATCGGCGAAGGCGGGAAACATCGGGGTCAATTGTTATGTAATAGTCTCTCCCTCGACCCTCCTGGTCTCTGGTTTGTGGTTAACTCAGAACGGGTTTAGGGGAGGATACTCTCACGTGAGAAGCGGATCGGGACATCCCTTCCCCAAACCCTCATCAGTAGCGCCTGAGGCCCCGGTCTCGCGAGAACATACATCTGATACCAACACACAAAAAATCAAGGCGAAAAACGCCTACTGCTACATTACATCATTTGTCAGCATGAGAGGTGGACACGTGTCTACATCTGCAGAAAAAAAACACACACCCCCAAACTAAAAAAAAAATATCCCACGGTACATAAAACGCCCCTCCCCAATTCCATGATCAACTCAAACCCATTTGTGGGGGTACACAGCGGTGTGTAGTGTGAAGAAGGTAACCACATTATGTAACCCCCATCCCCCGCCCTCACACACACACGCCTTCTCCCCTAGCGGATGTTCAATACCTATCAGCACCCCTGTCTCCCAGTGCATTTCCAGCCCAATTCCCCACTCCCTGTGCAAACTTAGTTTAGGTCACATATACTCGCTGACTACAGTCAAACACGAGGACGAGTCACGCAAGCTGACTTCCAAGCTGCGATGAAACCTCTTTGATCTTAGCGGTAGTCTGTTAAGAAAACCAGAGAAGACAAGAAGACCTCGCGTAGAAAGAAAACCCATAGGTAGCCATATACTACAATGATGTCTAACTGTCATCCTGGATTACCCAA